AGACGGTGTTCCACAGCTATTCATAAGGTTTTCACTGGCTAATTCCTTTCAGAAGTAGACCACCGGGCCTTTTTTTCCTAGTCCATCTTAGTCTGGAAGCTCAGCTGAAACCTGTCCGCCATGGGTGACCCTGCTGGTATTTGAATACTGGTGGCATAGCTTCCGGCATCACAGCAACACACAAGCCCCCACAGTACAACAAACTGACAGATGCTTGGGGAAATGAAGGAATAGCTACCATATATTTAGAAAAACTATTTTTCAAAATTATTCCAAATAAGAATATTGTCTTCCCAACACTTTTCTTTTTTAATGTAAAGTTTTCTGCAAGAGAGATTTAAATCCAGTGATACTTTCAAGTGATAGGGCTTTTAACTATGAGTTAGGCAGTACAGTATAACAGTTCAGAGTATGGGCTCTGGAGTCAAATGCCTAGCTCTGCCACTCATTAGCTTTAAGATCTTGGGCAAGTTCTTAACTTTCTGTGCCTTCCTTTTTCTCATCTATAAAATGCTGATGAGAATAGAACCTGTTTCATAGTTCATTTCCATGTAAAGTGCCCGTAACAGTGCCTGGCATGTGGCAGGGTACTTGATAAATGTTAGCCACAGGACCACCAAGTTGCATAGCTCCCTAGATTGTGCAGTACACACTCTGTGTAGCTGTATGCAGTGGCTCTAATTAGCTGCCATTATTGTTATTACTGTTAGTATTATTACCCCTTTACTGCTCTCCAGTAGGCTAGCTCTTATCATTCTAGATTATACGCAATGGCTTTTTGTTTTTCCCATCTTCACTAATAATAGATGTCCAGTATGATAGTTGTATTTAAATTAACTGTTGAGATAAATTTGTGTCAAAAATTCAGAAACAATAACATTGTAGATGATATATACATTTTTTTAAAACATACTGGATAATGAATTAGCAATGATAAATAAACTCCATTACTGAGGAAAGAAAAAAAGAGCTATGCCTTATCTTTTTTTTTACCACTGTTAATAAGAAGTAATATTTTAATTGTTTTTCATGATACTTACACTTCACATCCTCCTCTTTGGACCTGATCATGCTGTGCAGACTTGAGAAATTAATAGACCTAGGATTTTTCATCCCCATGGAGTGGGGGAAAGTTCAGTTTTACAGTGAATAAATATTTTAATAAAAATTATTTCAGGACAGGCACAAGTACATTACTTACAAATGTGTAGATTTTTTTAAAAAAACAAAAGGATTTAAGACCTTTTCTTCATTCAGCAAACACTTCTTGAACTCTTACAAAAACTGTGCTGAGCAACTTCGAAAAATTGAGTTGAGGGAACCATGCTTTTGAATGAACTGATGAAAAGTCCTTATGTTTTTCATGTTCACTTAAATAGTAAATTTGGGATATAAAAGACAGTGTTATTAGTATAATTTTTAATGCATCTTACATACTAGAAACTTCAGGATCTTCCCACAATTTCAAACATGTTTGTAATTTTTAAAAATTTCTTGTAGATAATGTGCATAATGGTAGTTTCTTTCCCCCATTTCTCCATCCAAAAAATTTTTTTTCTGATTGTATGGTTCTAGCAATGTACTACTGTTTAAATACTTGGGATGGAAAAAAAACATAGAGTAGCATTTATTTAATACAGTTGGCATAGCTGAGTTGGTCAGTTTCAGGTTTTGATCACAATGCGCAGGGTCATATGTAGTTGTCATTCCTCACATGGTTACCTGGAGCCCTGGTACAAGCTCTCTAGTGCACGTCCCTGCTCCCTCCCTCCTGATCACTGTGGCAGGAGTTCCAAGGCCTGAGTTTACAATCCCTAACATCCATCTCTTTTCTGTATCCTCCTCCTACTTGACATTTCCTAAATGCAAGTGACACACTTCACATTTCCTAAATGCAAGTCCTCAAATTCTTGTATTTTAGGAAAAAGTGTGCAGTAATCCCATGAATGATAAATTATATTTATAAGGGTGACTTCATAGAGGGAATAGAACCCACCTACCCTGTGTATTAACTGTTCAATTAATTCTAGATATCCTGGCAGATCAGAGTTGATCTTGAGATTAAGACCCAGGATTCCTGCTGCTACTCTTGGCAGTTAAAGTGCAAGTGTCATTCCATCTCAACAAAGCCTGTTGAGCACAAACTGCGTAGACACTCAAAGGTTTGGTTAACATTTCCTGGGTCCCTACTGTGTGCGAGGCATTGTGCATAGCAAAATAAATTAAGCAGTATCCACAAGGAGCTCTGAGAAGGTGAGAAGGAAGTCTAGAAGCATAACAGTGCTATGTGTTAAGGGTCATGTTAGAACTGTGCTGTGAACACACAAAGGAAGGGACCACCAGCCTGAGAAAACCACAGCTTTCCTTATGCCAACCCACACACAAACACAGGGCAACCAGGCCAGGAAAATTTAACTCTAGTTGTGATTAATCATGTTATTTGTCTTTCTCTCCCACCAAGCGCCATGAGGGCGGGAACGTATCTTACTCTCTGTAGTCTTGTCCACCGTTGTCTTCTTGCTGTTTCTCATGCTTGGCACTTAATAGGCATGCCATAAATATTTGTTGATCGGATGAATAAAAGGGAATAAATGAGAGACACTGACCCTGGCTTTCAGGAGAAATTAATTTATGTTTATTTTCTGAGGTGGGGCATCACTGGTAATAATCAGAATATAAACAGTTTAGTGTAAAAAATGTGTTTGGCTGGCTGCTAACAGAAAGGTCTTCGGTTGCAACCCACCAGCTTCTCCCTGGGAGAAAAGACCTGGCTATCTGTTCACGCGGAGCCCTGGTGGCACAGTGGTTAAGCATTGGGCTGCTAACCAAAAGGTGGGCAGTTAGAATCCATCAGCCTCTCCTTGGAAACCCAATGGGACAGTTCTACTCTGTCCTACAGGGTCACTATGAGTCGGAATCAACTCGATGGCAACAGATTTGGTTGTTTATCTGCTCCCATAAAGACTGTCGTTGATGGTGGTTGTGGTGTGTGCCATCGAGTGGATTCCAACTCAGCGACCCTATAGGACATAGTAGAACTGCCGTCACAAGAGTTTCGTAGGCTGTAATCTTTACCGGAGTGAATAGCGGGGCTTTTTACTCAGAGCGGCTGGTGGGTTCAACCGCCAACCTATGAGTTGGAATCATAGTTTATCAGAAAAGCAGAGTGAGAATGAAAAAAAAAAAAAGTGGAAGTGGCAGGAAGGGAAAAAGGGAGCGAAGCTTTTAAAGAGGAAGCAGACATTGTTGCTGACTGCTGGGGGCGGGGGGGGGGTAGCTGGATGTATTCCAAAGACGTTTTTTGTTTTTAACTGCAATTCTTTTGTAAATTTGGGCTTACCTATTGATTTATTTTGGGAATTCTGAATGGAAGAAGTACAACCAGAATGCTCCTTAGAAGCAAGGATGGTGAGACTACGTCTCACATTCTTTGGACGTGTTATCAGGAGAGATCAGTCCCTAGAGAAGGACATCATGCTCGGTAAAGTACAGGGTCAGTGAAAAAGAGCAAGACCCTCAACGAGATGGACTGACACAGTGGCTGCAACAATGGACTCAGGCATAAGGACTGTAAGGATGGCGCAGGACCCGGCAGTGTTTTGTTCTGTTGTACATAGGGTGGCTATGAGTCGGAACTGACTCGACGGCACCTAAACAGCACCATCTTAAAGATATAGCGGTTTCTCAGTTACTTCTACCTTTTTCCTTACGGGCTTGTGACACTCCGCAAGGGACAAAGTGGCTGGAACTCCAGGTTGCCTAAAATGCTGGGAAGGAAAGGATGGGAAAATACCAGAAGCAATCACTGCGAGGACTACGGCTTGTTTTTCGGAAAGCTGATTCCCACGCTGGCTCGCCTCCTTCGCCCCGCCCTGCCACGCCCCGCGGCGTCGGGGGTCACGTCCCTCGTGTCCCGTCCCCTGATTGGCTGCGTTGGGGGAGTTTCTGCGCGCGCTCACCTGTTTACTGTGCCCCGATTGGCTGCCGGCGAGGAGGCTGGTCGCCGCTGGTCTAGGAAATTCACGAGTCGCCGGGACCCGGACCCCAGCAGTGGCGGGATTGCGGGCCGCCGGTGGAGGAAGGAAGGACGGAGGCAGGTACCCGGGGCGCAGTGCGCCTCGCACGGACGGACGCCATGGGGGAGTCTCTCTCTTCCTCGGCAGAGCTGCCGAGAGCCGGAGGTGGGGCGGCCCACCGCAGAATGATCGGTCGGCCAGCCCCTCAGCTCTGCCTGCCGGGCATGGCCGACGCCAGGGCGCAGCGGTCGGAAGTTGCTCTTGAAAAGCGAAGACCCTGCATAGTTGTTGCCTTTCGATGGGTTCGGTAGATTCTTGGGCCCACGTTTTTCCATGCTTATGAACACTGGGATTAATTTGAAACTTTCAGCTGATTAAATATGTTATAAAAGAGTAACAGTTGAAATTAATGATGCTGTAGAGGAGACTGAATTAAGTATGAAAATTGTGTGTATTATGGAAGTGAATTTCGCTCCTCTCAAATGTTTAAGAAACATGACGTATCAGAGAATAGCTCACATTGTGATTTAACGTACATTTACCAAGAGCATTACTATGTGTAGGGCATAGGGCTTGTATTCAGCCGAGTCTTTTGAAGTTAGTAAACTAAACTTTTTCAAGGTAGTCCAGGTACATACTATTTAATCTTGGAATGTAGAAATTATTTTTTTTTAAAACTTTCTCAAAAACATGCGAGCCAACGGAAATTGAGCTCTGTTAGTTACTGGGATACATGTGTGACGAGGAACTATAGTCCTGCCCTCTTAGAGTCTAGTAGGAGAGATGAGGAGCCCTGGTGGCACAGTGATTAAGAGTTCAGGCTGCTAACGGTGGAATCCCCCAGCCCTATGGGGCAGTTCTCCGTCTTTATAGGGTCAGATTCCACTCGATGGCAACGGGTTTGGTTTAGAAGAGGTGGCACAGTGGTTAAGCTCTTGAATGCTAGCCAAAAGGTCTGCGGTCGGAACCCACCCAGCGGCACAGAGAAAAGATCTGGTGATCTGTCCTCATCAACATTACAGCCACGAAAACCCTATGGGGCCGTTCTCTTCTGTCCTATAGCGTCACTGTGAGTTGGAATGTACTCAATGGCACACAACGACAACAGAAGAGATGGACATATACAGGAAGGTAATATGTTTAAAAGTAAGTTATCACTGACAAGTGGGTTTTGATGTTTGTTGCTTATTTGTGCGTGCATATGTATCCTACCATTCTGGAATCTTGGTGTAGAATGCATGGAAATTTAGGTAAAATTGGAAAACCATGGTGCATTTGGAAAGTTGTAAAAAAAATTTTAAGCTGAATTCTTCAGCTGACTTAACAATACGTGATTTTAGCTTTCTTTAGAATAATAGTTGTGATGTTTATTCAGTGCCAGGTACAGTTCTAATAAGCACGTTGCATGCTTTAGGCAGTATACCATAGTGATTAAGAGCAGAGCTCTCGACCCAGGCTGTTGGATTTGAATCCAAGATCTGCCATTTCTTAGCTGTGCAACCTTGGGCAAGTTAGCTTATCTGCATCCTTTTCTCATCTTTAAAAATGGATTTTGTGATGATTTAATAAGTTAGTATGTGTGAAGAGTTTTTTGAATACCTGATTTATGGCATTACTGTTAACTCATCACCATCGCTCAGCAAGTTAGTGTCCCCATTTTCCTGATCATCAGACTGAGGCACAGAGATGTGAAGTACCTTTCTCAAGTCACACCACAACTAATGTCCAGGAATTAAGCCCAGGCAGACTAGTTCCAATAGCCCACAATTTTACCCACTACATTAAGTTGTCTCATGAATTTGGTTTGTTCATTCAGTTTCAGTTGACAAATACTGATTTTGTTCTTCTGTGGACCAAGTTCTTTGCTGGGCACAGGGGATAAATCAGAACAGGACTCAGTTCCTGCCCTCCCAGCACGAGCAATCTAAGGTAGGTTGTCCATGGCTGGGCTGTAGGAGGTCCCTGAATCCTGCTGAAATCATTTGCAGAATGTTGTGGGTATGGATGTTTTTTTCTGCAAGGAGAGTCTGTGGCTCTCATCAAGTTCTCAGATGGGTCTGTGATCTGAAAAAAAGATTCATAAGTATAGTTTTAGCAGAAGAGCTAGTAGTGCCTAACATAACACCTGACACAGTGTAAGCTAAAAAAACAAAAAATTGAATGAATAAAGAATAGATGAGTGCTACAGTACGGTCGAGGACAGGGTGCTATGGGAGAGCGCACCAGGAGTGTCACCTGCCCAAGAATGCCTCCTAGAGACAGTAATGCCAGCCAGGTGAAGGGTAGGGAAGCAATTCATTCATTCATTGGAAGACAGTGGTGAACAAAAAGACAGCAGTCCCTGCCGTTGGCGAGCTAATAGGTGAGACAAATATACAACATGTGAACAGTTGCAGCTATGACAAATGGTATAGAGGAGTGGTCCATGGTTCCATGAAAGCGTATAATGGGGATGAGGGCTTCATCTACTTGTGAAGGTCAGAGAGTTCCCTGAGAAAGTAACACTTAGGCCTGGGAGATACCTCTTGTTTCAACCCCATGTGACAGTAGAACTGCCTCATGGGGTTTTCTAGGCTGTAGTCTTTATGGGAGCAGATCACCAGGTCTTTCTTCAGCTGAGCTGCTGGGTGGGTTTGAACCACTGATCTTTCAGTTAGCAGCCAGGCTACTACACTGTGCTACCAGGACTCCTTAGGAGTTAACTAGACGGGTATTTCAGGAGTGGAGAACAACATCTTCAGAGACCAGGTGGTGGGAATAGGTAGAGCACCAGGCGTTAAAGGAGGCAGGTGTTTGTGGCTAGTTGTAGGGAGAGGACGACAGGAAGGTTGGGGTGGTGGCAGAGCCCAGACAAGGTCTTGTAGGCCACGGTAAGGCATTTTTGTGTTTTAATTTGATTTCTGTCTTTATCTTAAAGTGCCATTGAAAAGTTTATTGCAGGGAGTTGACAAGATCCCATTTTAAGAAAATGCTGCAGAGGAATCCAAGTAGATTAACTAAAGCCCTGGATGAGGACAAGATCTTTGAAGAGACATTGCAAGGTAAGACGAGGAGAGGGTCTAGAACCAAGCCTTGAAGAAGGCAGGCTTGCAAAGGAGACAGATAAAGGGTGGCCAGAAGTCTAAGACGGCAAGAGGAGAGCCAGGAAAGTGGAATGTCTTAGAAGAAGAGTAAGCAGGTATTTCAAGGAGAAAGTGGTTAGCTGTGCTGAAGACTGCAAAGAGTCAAAAGAGATGGGAGCTAAAACTATTCATTGGCTCTAACATTTCAAGTTGTCCTTACCGGGAGCTATTTAGGTAGGAGGAGAGGAAGTGGAGAGAAGAGGATCTGCAAGAATTAGCTGAGAGGAGGAAAAAGATGGGGTTTTAGCTGGACGGGCAGTGAGAGAAAGAGAGAGACTGGTTGTTGTGAATGGAAGAGACCTGAAAGTGTTTAAGAGCCATTGAAGTGAAGGGTGGGAGTGTCAAGAGAAGGATATAGCTGAAGGAGTAACTGCATGAGAAAGAAGGGCCCTAGAGTTGTCTGGCCAGAGGGGTTGGAAATCAGCACAGGAGCAGGGATTACTCAGGATAATGAAAGGTGTAACTGGAGGAAGGGGGTAGGTTTTCGTTTGATGTGATCAGTTTCTTTGTACAGGTAAGAGGGAAGGGCATTGGTTGAGAGTTGAGGATGGAATGGGGAGGGGTGTTGGAGGTCAGAGTTGAAATAATCTGGCATACTTGTGAGGTGAATGGAAGAGTGAATTGAGCAGAGAAATGTTTGGGATGGTGGGCAGAGGGAGCCAAGTATGCAACAACAGCCAGAAATGAGCTTCCTGGCTTATTCAAGGAATTGAAAAATAGTGAGGTGGGTGGGGATGGAGGCTTACTAGAATAAAACCTTAATTCAATATATGATAAAGGAAGCATCACAAGCATGGGACAGGAAAGGATTGTTAAAAAAATGGTCCTTTGAGATACCTAAACTGTGGATAAAATCTATTTAGATTCTCAGTTTACAGTCAGAAATTTCAGTTAAATAAGGTCTTAAAATTCAAACAAAAATATAGGAGGAAGTATGGATGAAATTAGCTGATCGTCTGGTGCTTACAAGTAGTAGGAATAAATAAAGAAAAGGAAAGTTTGACCATTTAAAATTAACCGCTTTGATATGCTGAAATACAGTAGTCCCCCTTGTTCACAGGAGATGAGTTCCAAGACACCCCGTGGATATGCCTGAAACGGCAGATAATGCTGAACCCCTACGTATGCTATGTTTTGTCCTGTACATACATACCTATGATAAAACTTCATTTATAAATTAGGCACAATAAGAGATTAACAACAATAACTAATAATAAAATAGAACAATTACAACAATATACTGTAATAAAAGTTATACGAATGAAGGAGCGGGATGGTACAAGATTTTATCATGCTACATACTCATTTAACATTTTCAGACCACAGTTGACCTCAGGTAGCTGAAACCGTGCATAAGGGGGAACTACTGTTTACCATTAACAACTAAAAATGAACTAAGAAGAAATTTCCAGAAGTGAGATTGTTATTCTTAATAAAAAGTTTACACAGGTCAATTTTTAAAAAGCAGAAGAGATTACAGTTTTAAAAAGGCAAAAGGCAGGAATACTTGATTCACAAAAGGAACTGAAGATGGGCAAAATAGTTTCAGAAGAGCTCAGCCTCCCTCGCTGGTAATGAAAGAAGATGAAGTTAAATTGGTGCATCATTTTGCACGTATCAGAATAGAAACTGCTGAGAGAAGGACTCGTGCTGCTTGTACAAATGTCAACTGAGAGAGTTTCTCGGGCAGTAAATTTAGCAACTCGGCCTTTTAAGTGTTCACACATATTATCTCCAGTAATTCTATTTCTAGGAATGTATCCTAAAGGAAAAAAATATGAAATGTGGACAGCTATTTAGCATAGAGCAAAAATGGCAAATAGCTTAAATGCCCAATATTAAGGGAGTTACACAACTACTGTATAGTATATCCATCCCACGTAATATCGCCCACTCATTTTAAGTGTTTACAGAGAGTGTTTGATGCAAAGTTTTGATATTTAGTGCATATAGGAAAAGAAGCAGAAAATAAATCATACATATATAATGAGTTGGTGACAGAGGAATCACAACATTCGTGCTTTTCATTTTTGCAGTAACTGTGTTCACTCATCAGAGAGAGACAGACCACCACAGATAATGTAATCGTTCAGACAACTCATCTTACTCTCCACACATCATAGTATACCCTGGAGTAGGCAGGAAATGAGAGACAACCTACTGTTCCCTTCACCTCATTTGGCAGGAGCCTCTGTCGGTATAAGCGTCTCACCATGATGAATGCGGTTCTAATGTTTAACAGTCTGTCATTTTATATAACATAACCCTCAGACCAAGCCAACTACTTGATCTGGAGCTCAGCCAGACACTGCTATCTGTTCTAGCCCTCGAGGAACCCCTCGCTGTGTTGGACTTACTGGAAGACACAGTATGTTCGTCTCCAGCATGGTGGCTGCTTAAAGACATTTTCAAGGAAAATTCTGAGTCTATGCAATTTTCACTTTATGGACTGAATTTAGAACCTAACTCCCATGTACAAGGCAGCCTCACTTTATGTATTTGAAAAATAATAAAGGGGGACAGAAACAGAAAAAAAATGGGATATAAGAATCTAAACAGCTTCTAAGTGGTGGGATTGTGAGGACTTTTTCCGCTTCCTTATACTTTTCAGAATTTGGCAGATTCTCTGCAGTAAGCAGGTACTGGAGCCCTGGTGGCATGGTGGGTAAGAGCGTGGCTGCTAACCAAAAAGTTGGCAGTTCGAATCCACCAGCCACTCCTTGGAAACTATGGTGTAGTTCTCCTCTGCCCTGTAGGGTCGCTATGAGTCAGAATTGACTCAACAGCAACAGGTTTGGTTTGGTGGGGTTTTTTTGTTTTTTGTTTTTTTTAAAGCATGTATTGCTTTTATAAGAAAACTGAACCACTTAAAATACAATTTTGACATTTTTCAGTTACTCTTCATAAATAATGTACTTCTGTCTAAAGTGCAATTTAAAGTCATTACTGTAAGATATTTAGTTCCAAATATTTCTGAATGATGACTGCCGTTTATTGAGTACTTCCTATGTGCTAGGTACTGTGCAAAGTACTTAACATGCATTTTAACCCTCACAGTATCCCTGTAAGGTTTAGATGCTGTTCTCTCCATTTTACAGATAGATGCTATTAACATTTATTGAACATACACTGTGAGGCATTGTTCTAATCACTACTATCTTGTTTAATCACAAAAAGGCTAAGTAACTTTCCCAAGATCACCCAGGAGTTAGAGCCTGGACTGGGTGTGGGCGTTCGGCTGCAGAGCCCACACCCTTCCACAGCATGTGCTACACGTGTGGAGCCCGAGCTTGTGTGGCCACACAGTGCGTGGGCTCGGGGCTCACGCCCAGATCTGTCCACGCTCTTCGTCATTATGTTACACCTCCTCCCTCCTGTTACAATGCATGGTCTTCTTCAAATTTTTTTAAAAATCCTTTATTATTGTCATCTTGGCTAATGGTATTAGAAATTATCTGAAGAAAACTGGTTGAGCCACTGGAATTAAAGCAGAAACTCTGCCTACGATAATTTTAGTCTCCATAGGCACTAACAGTGAACTGTCATTACAAATGATAAACCAAAATGAGAAAGTTGTTACTTGTTATTTTTCCTTATAGAGTAATCATTTATTTTGATTTGTCAGGACAGGCTTGAAAGCAGGGCTTCAAACCAGTTGCATTTCTTAACAAGTTCCCGGTGATGCTGATGCTGCTGGTTAGGGACTAATTCTGAGAACCACTAGTACAGCAGTGGTTCTCAAAATTTCTTATACATAAGAATCACCTGGGGATTTTGTTAAAATGTAGATTCTGATTCAATATATCTGGGATGGAAATGGAACTTCTCAGCAGGGGTTCAAACTGGAACGAACCGGTTCAAAGCCCTGCTTGAAAGTGAAGAGTCCATCCCCAGCGTATATAGCATGGTCATTATTAGAGGCAGAGATTGGAAACAGCTGTATTTGCTTTCCTTTCAAAGGCACAAATAATAAGGGAAGGCTGCTAACTAACTTAAGTAGCCCGGTACTGAACACTTTTGTGGCAAGGCTGAAACATGTAAGAATACCCTTGGATACTAATAGTTAAAAAAATAACTAGGCATGTTTTCACTACCAAAGACAAAAGAAATTAGTGGCAAAGGATATAATGAAGTAGGCAAGGTTTAGCCCTCTCAAGGTACCTACAGATTGTCAAGCTGGGATGGCTGGTTAGACTATTTTAAAGGAATGTTCACCATCCACAGCTAACCTGATTTCCCATGGCTCCCAAGGAGCAATTTCCCGTGGAGCAGTCATGTTATGAGTCATGTTCTCATCTTATCTGGCTAAGACTTATTCTCATTCTTGATTTTATAAAGCATTTTCACATAATTCTAATAAAACATTTATTAATCCATTTTAAATAAAGCCAATTAACTGACTTGTTTTGGATGATAGTTATCACCTAGATTGGGCATAACAAAAATAATCACTGTAAAATATAAGATTAGAGACAACGCACCCTGCTTCCTTAATAAGTATCTGGTTCAATTAAACATCAACTTGAAAATGTAAAATAATTTTGAAAATAGATATGTCTGTATGTAATACATGTCTCCTAAAAGGAATCAAAACAGTATAGGAAAGGGAATCTGTTAGAATAACATTTGAGATCTGTGAGCCTTTGACCTCTTAGAGCTTGCTGTTGATCTGTAAAATGCAGGTAACTTCAAGGTTGTTATAAAGCTCATATAAATTATAAGATGTCTAAGTGGTGAAGCTTGGGTGTTACAGTTTCTTCAGTAAATGTTTAAGATGTGTTTAATATTCCATCTGAGTAGTTTTCCCGTTTGGTAATTTAAATTCATTTTATGTCCGTCCTTACTAATTACATCTCACATTTGTATGTGTATGTGTTCTAAAAGTCAACACATCTTATATAAAACCAACATTTTCTTTCTTCCAGATTTGATGAGCACATTCTGAATCCCAGGACTGGGAATAGCCAGTGGGCTACAGGCGTGATGTGGGTATTACTGATGAGATCCCAGCCCTACAGACTGTGTTCTGTCAGAAAGATGTTACCGACTCCAAAATACAGACCTTTTTTAGCATGCTTCACCTATACAACTGATGGACAGTCAAACAAAGAAAATAAAAGAACAGTGGAAAAGCTCTGTAAATTTTCGGTTGACATAAGGAAAATTCGCAGACTAAAGGGATGGGTACTTTTGGAAGGTGACACCTATACTGAAGAAATTGTAAATATTTTACAAGAACTAGGAGCTGATGAAACTGCGATAGCCAGCATTTTGGAACGCTGCCCAGAAGCAATTGTTTATAGTCCAGCCACTGTTAACACCCAGAAAGAACTCTGGCAGTTGCTCTGCAAAAATGAAGAGGAGTTAGTTAAGTTAATAGAACAGTTCCCAGAATCTTTCTTTACCGTTAAAGATCAGGAGAACCAGAAGCTGAATGTTCAGTTCTTTCAGGAGTTGGGGCTCAAGAATGTCATCATTAGCAGGTTTTTAACAACCGCACCTAATATTTTTCAGAATCCTGTTGAGAAGAATAAGCAAATGATAAGGATTCTCCAAGAAAGTTATCTAAATTTAGGTGGCTCTGAAGTCAACATGAAAGTTTGGCTACTAAAATTGCTAAGCCAGAACCCATTTATTTTGTTAAATTCTTCTGCATCTATAAAGGAAACATTGGAATGTCTCCAGGAGCAAGGTTTCACAGACTCTGAAATTCTCCAGCTTCTCTCCAAACTCAAAGGATTCCTTTTTCAGCTTTGCCCAAGAAGTCTACAGAACAGTATTTCTTTCTCTAAAAATGCTTTTAAATGCACAGACCATGATCTAAAGCAATTAGTTTTGAAATGTCCTGCCCTTTTATATTATTCTGTTCCAGTTTTGGAAGAACGAATTCAGGGATTATTGAAAGAGGGGATTTCCATACCTCAGATAAAAGAGACGCCAATGGTTCTCGAATTAACACCACAGATAGTACAGTACAGGATAAGGAAACTAAATTCTTTAGGCTATAGGATAAAAGATGGACATCTAGCAAATCTAAACGGAACAAAAAAAGAGTTTGAGGCTAACTTTGGTAAAATCCAAGCCAAAAAAGGAAGGCCATTATTTAACCCTGTGGCACCATTAAATGTTGAAGAGTAACTTAACTAACTTACGCTGCTGCTGCTTACAGTGCAGAGTGCAACATTAGCAAAGACTTAAAGCAGTTCAGGCAGTTTGTAGGCACCAGTAGTTGTATAGACCTACTTAGCTTCTGAGTTGTATTTAAATTAGCTCTAAGTAATCTGACTCATGTACCGTATTTGAAATAAAGTTGGTAACTGTGACCTTGAGCTACTATTTAAAAAACACTACTAAAAGGAGCCCCGGTGGTGCAATGGTTAAAGCAATTGCTAACTGAAAGGTCAGTGGTTCGAAACAACCAGTGGCTCTGCAGAAGAAAGATGTGGCTGTCTGCTTCCATAGAGATTTACAGCCTTGGAAACCCTGTGAGGTTGCTATGAGTTAGAATCAGCAGCGGTGGGTTTTTTTTTTTTTTTTTTTTAAATTATTAAATGGCATATCAGTGTGATGTTTTATATATGTTAATTATTTCTAAGAAACTGAGAAGTGTGCTCCCTTAATTTTCAAGTATGAATACATTTTTACTTAGATAGCGTGTTTCATCTGGTCTGCAAACCCAGTTTTCTTCCTCATCACCAGCCCTGAAACATCACTCTACTGTGACCTGAATTCTCTAAGTGTCAAGGGAAACGTGCAAACTTATCATAAATATTGGAGTAAATATATATCTTTGAGAACCAAGTATTATCCAAAATAATATGTTGTCCTGTAGGAGTTTGATTAATTAGAGCCTACTTATGTAGCCATTGTATCACAAAATACTTCTATGTGCATTACAGATGAGGAAACTGAAGCTTAGGTCATTCAGCTGCCAAGTGGCAGAGCCCAGGTTTACTAAGATCTGGCTCCTCTTCAGACCTTGTGAATAGAAATAATTGCTTATGAGTTGGCACAAGAGAAGTCAGCCCTACCTGACATGCCAAAAAGAGTGGGGTCCTAATAATAAATTTAAGGAATTTTATGAAAACTTCTCTGTAAAATTCCTTAAATTTGAAATTACCTAATTGATACACTTTTGAAGTAAATGTCGCGTTTTAGAAAGCTTTCTGAAGATCCAAGTCTGCCTATAAAGGAAAGTGTGGATAGAACTGAATATCGTGGTAGGGTTCCAAGTTTCTATTTCTAAATCTTGTTCCAAGATAAACATTACCCAGGTAAAAACTGGCTCACCTTTAGCTGTGTAATCTGAACTTTGACTCTGTCACTCAAACATCTGTGCACTGTGTGTGCATGGTCTTTTAAGTAATAAAGATTTCTGAAAACTGCAGGCAGTGTTGTCACTATTAAGTAACCCTCCCGATCCAAATCTGTTCAGTCCCTTAATTTGGATAGTGAGATATCTCTATGTAGCACTTACTAAGTGCCAGGCATATGTTGTGCTTTACAACCCTAAGAGTTAAGTACCATTGTTAACTGTTCTACACATGAGAAGACTTGAGCACAGTGAAGGTAAGTAACTTACCCAAGGTCACCTGATAAACTGTTCAAGAAAAAATGCCTTCCAGTACAACTGGAGCAGGAGAGTAGCACTACACGAGGTAAGCACAGCAGGCCCATCTAGGAGGAGGATTGCTTTTTAAGTGCAGTGGGAAACCCTTGGAGAGTTTTAAGTCGGTTTGCCTTTACGATTTACATAAGTTTATGCTGGTTGTCCTGACATCAGTGGTACTCTCTTACACTTTCAAAAGTGTCTGTTTAGAATACATTATATGGTATATGGTCACCTTAGTTCTATTTTAGATGTCAGCTTTGACATGCCTACTGGACATCCAAGTACAGATGACAAGCAAATGGCTAAGTCTGGAGTTGTGAGAAATCAGGGCTGGGGATACATATTTGAGAGTCATCGGCATGTCTGATATTTAAAGCCATGGAACTAGACAACATTGCCTGAAAAAAAGAATGTAGATTTAAGTCCAGTGGCTGGCCACACCTGGAAAAGGTTGAACAGAGGAAGAAGTCAGCCAACAAGAGAGCGTGGTCAATGAATGTCATGGAGAGGCCTACTATGATATAGTTGTTAGGTGCCATCAAGTCAGTTCCGATTCAGCGACCCTATGCACAAAAGAAGGAAACGCTGCCTGGTCTTCCGCCATCCTTACAATCATCGTGCTTGAGCCAATTGCTGGCAGCCACTGTGTCAATCCATCTCCTTTAGGGTCTTCCTCTTTTTTACTGACCCTCTACCAAGCATGATGTCTTTCTCCAGGGACTGATGCATCCTGATAACATGTCCAAAGTATGAGGGAAGTAGTCTCCCCATCCTTGCTTCTAAGGAGCATTCTGGCTGTATGTCTTCCAAGACAGATTTCTTTGTTCTTTTGGCAGTGCATGGTATATTCAGTATTCTTCACCAACACCATAATTCAAAGATGTCAGTTCTTGTTTGGTCTTCCTTATTCATTGTCCAGCTTTTGAATGCATATGAGGTGACTGAAAACACCATGGCTTGGGTCAGGAGCACCTCAGTCTTCAAGGTGACATCGTGGCTTTTTAACATTTAAAGAGGTTTTTGCAGCAGATTTGCCCAGTGCAGTGCATCATTTGATTTCTTGACTGCTGCTTCCATGGGTGTTGATTGTGGATCCAAGGAAAATGAAATCCTTGACAACTTCAGTCTTTTCTCCATTTATCATGATGTTGCTTATTGGTCCAGTTGTGAGAATTCATTTCTTTATGTGGAGGTGTAATCCATACCAAAGGCTGTGGTCAGTAAGTGCTTCAAGTCCTCTTCACTTTCAGCAAGCAAGGTTGTGTCATCTGCATAACACAGGTTGTTAATGAGTCTTCCTCCAATCCTGATGCCGCGTTCTTCATATAGTCCAGCTTCTCCAATTATTTGCTCGGCATACAGATTGAATAAGTATGGTGAAAGGTTATAACCCTGACACATTTCCTGACTTTAAACCACGTAGTATCCCCCTTGTTCTGTTTGAACGACTGCCTCTTGGTCTATGTACAGGTCCCTCGTGAGCACAATTAAGTGTTCTGGGATTTCCTTTCTTCACAATGTTATCCATAATTTATGATCCATACAGTCGAATGCCTTTGCACAGTCAGTAAAACACAGGTAAACATCTTTCTGGTATTCTCTGCTTTCAGCCAGGATCCACCTGACATCAGCAATGATATCCCTGGTTCCACATCCTCTTCTGAATCTGGCTTGAATTTCTGGCAGTTCCCTGTGGATGTATTGCTGCAGCTGCTTTTGAATTATCTTCAGCAGAATTTTACTTTCATGTGATACTAATGATACTGTTCAATAATTTCCACATTCGGTTGGATCAGCTTTCTTGGGAACAGGCATAAATATGGATCTCTTCCAGTTGGTTGGCCAGGTAGCTGTCTTCCAAATTTCTTGGCATAGACAAGTGAGCACTTCCAGCGCTGCATCTGTTTGTTGAAACATCTCAATTGATACTCCATCAATTCCTGGAGCCTTGTTTTTTGCCGATCCTTTCAATGACACTTTCACCTCTTTCTTCGGTACCATTGGTTCCTGATCACATGCTACCTCCTGAAATGGCTTGAATGTCGACCAGTTCTTTTTGGTATAGTGACTCTGTATATTCCTTCCATCTTCTTTTGATGCTTCCTGTGTCATCTGATATTTTGCCTGTAGAATCCTCCAGTATTGCCACTCCAGGCTTGAATTTTTTCTTCAGTTCTTTCAGCTTGAGAAATGTTGAGCATGTTTGTCTCTTTTGGTTTTCTAACTCCAGGTCTTTGCACATGTCATTATAATACTTTCTCTTCTTGAACTGCCCTTTGAAATCTTCTATTCATCTCTTTTACTTCATCATTTCTTCTTTTGCTTTAGCTACTCCACATTCAAGTTCAAGTTTCAGAGTCTCTTCTGACATCCATTTTGGTCTTTTCTTTCTTTCCTGTCTTTTTAATGACCTCTTGCTTTCTTCATGTATGATGTCCTTGATGTCATTCCACGACTCGTCTGGTCTTCGGTCATTAGTGTTCAACACGTCAAATCTATTCTTGAGATGGTCTAAATTCAGGTGGGATATACTCAAGGTCGTACTTTGGCTCTTGTGGACTCGTTCTAATTTTCTTCAGCTTCAACTTGAACTTGCATATGAGCAACTGATGGTCTGTTCCGCAGTCGATCCTGGCCTTGTTCTGACCGATGATACTGAGCTTTTCCATTGTCTCTCTCCACAGTCGTAGTCAATTTGATTCCTGTGCATTCCATTTGGAGAGGTCCATGTAAGTCACCATTTATGTTGTTTAAAAAAGGTATTTGCAATGAAGAAGTCATTGGTCTTACAAAATTCTATCATGCGATCTCCGGCATTGTTTCTGTCACCAAGGCCGTATTTTCCAACTACTGATCCTTTTTTGTTTCCAACTTCCACATTCCAATCACCAGTAGTATCAATGCACCCTGATTGCATGTTCGATCAATTTCAGCCTGCAGAAGTTGGTAAAAATCTTCAATTTCTTCATCTTTGGCCTTAGTGGTTGGTGTGTAAATTTGAATAATAGCCGTATTAACTGGTCTTCCTTGTACGCTTACAGATATTACCCTGTCACTTCAGGATAGCTCTTGAAATCTTCTTTTTCACCATGAATCCAATGCCATCCCTCTTCAAGTTATCATTCCCAGCATAGTATGACTGTCCAATTCAGAATGGCCAATACCATTCCATTTCAGCTCACTAATGCCTAGGATATAGATGTTTACGCGTTCCATTTCATTTTTGACGATTTCCAATTTTCCTAGATTCATACTTTGTACATTCCACACATTCCAATTATTAAGGGACGTTTGCATCTGTTTTCATTTTGAGTCTTGCCATATCAGCAAACTATGATATAGAGATGTAACCGGTGGATTTGGCAAAAAGTAAATCACAGTTGGCCCTATTAAGAGTAATTCTGGTGGAATGGGCCAGGTGGAAAGGACTACTGGAGTGGGTTGAAGAGAAAGATAGGGACCATAAACTTTTTCAAGAATTTTTGCTTCAAAGGGAAGCACAAAAATGGAGAAAGCAAATACTAAAACATGCTTACGTGCTGATGGGTCTGACCGAAAAGAAAGGGACTGATAAGAGAGACGGAAAAGCAGGATTCCTATTCTTGAGGAAGTGAAGGTGAGTAGGCTTTGGAGAAGAGCCCAGATATTGGTCCTGGTCCACTGTAAAGAGGGGAGGCACAGAATGTGGAACACATGCATGCAGTTGATGGACTGAGTGGTGTGAGAGGCAGGGGAGCTGCTGTCTGGTTTCTTCCTCTCCCTCCCCGCCTCACCCCCCCCCCAAAAAGGACTGTAGAATGGGAGGGAGGGAGCATAGTAGGAGAGCTAGAAGAGAAGGTGCAAAATAGTCATTTTGAGGAGTGGAAAAGTGAACACACAGGAGGAGGGTATATTAGGAAAGTCTGGCAAAGTTGAGTGGCCATGTGTGATTTGCGGCCATTAATTTAGAGACTAGTTAGTACAACTGCAAAATTCAGCTACTTGGGTCCAGACAGACAATCAGAGGCAGTCAAGTTTATAGAAATACATTTCTAACAATCTAAAAGGTTTTAAAAAAATTTTTTTTTAATCCACCTTCATGGTCAAATGTGCCATATACTTCTTTTTAAAAGTCAGATTCCATCCTCATTTATCTTAGCCCTTGAACCTCTGAGATAGTTTTGCTTCACCTTTCGCAACATTACATTCTCACTCAGATCTTATGAAATAGAATTTTAAAAACATAGCTAGGAGAGATATCCTTGCATAAAACACTAGGGTCAAATTGTAATTTCCCTGTGAAAAACAGCTCTAATCATTTCCCACATACATTTTATGTGTAATTACACTATATTCTTCCTGTAGCAAAATGTAACTAGCTATCAAAGTAAATATGAACATCTGGAAAACTTCCAGTGAGCTAAAGTTCTAGCCTGGTAAATCAAGCATGCAGGCAGCCCTGAATATCAACAGCAAATAAAGGAGTAGTAATTGAGTAGCCCCACTTCTGTTTCTGGACATGAGACAGAGAGACTGTGACTTACACTAATTCAAAAGTGATATACGAAATTCAACTAACATTGAAAGCCTGTTCCTTATTTGTAAAAAGTAAAGGCAGAGTTCCGGCAAAATGGCGCTCTAGGCAGAAGCACCATGCCGTCCCTCCACAGGAAAGATCTGAAAAACTAAGCCGAACAGAGAATACAACAATCCTGAAACCCTAAAACATCAAATGAAGAGAGAAAGAACTCAGCCAAGCACCAAATGGAGTGAGAAAATCGACAGGGAACTGAGAGCGAGGAGAGATTCATGCAGAG